TCAGAGAACTAAGGAGACCTTCAGTCTTTACCTCTGGCTGGCACAGTGATACCCCTCAAAACACCCAGCTGTTTTGGGGAAGGAGAATATCTGGTTTCTGGAATTACCATGTTAGGAGATTTCAGATGTCCGGTGTTCAACAAAATCATAAGGCATACAAAAAATGGGGCATGAACAAAAGAGGAATAGCAAAAAGCCCAATAGGTGCCCCCCAATTCCCAAGCTGGAAAGTACAAGTAATAAAACCAAAAAGATAGATGGGATGACGTCAAATCTCTGTGCTTCCACGGAAATAAACTGTGAAAGACACCTTATGAAATGGGGGGAGATATTTGCAAACTATTTTTTTATGAAATAAAACATCAATAAAAAATAATTTCTTTTATGAAATTAATGTTCAGAACACATAAGGAATTCCTGCAACTCACCTAAAACCACCTGATTAAAAGTTGGGCAGGAAATTCAAGCAATTCTCCAGAGAAGATGCACAAATAACCGGCACATGCAAAGATACTGAAAATCACTCATACAGAGAAATGAAGATGAAACCCACGTGAGCTCACTCCTGCGAGGATGGACCCTCGAGAGAACACGGATGGTGGCGAAGGATGTAGAGAAATCGCAACCTCGTGCACTACTGTTGGGAACGCAACCGGGAGCAGTTCCTCTGGAGAAGAGTATGGAGGTTCCTCAAGTCCGAGTCCTCGGGCACCAGTGTGCACAATCCCGCCTGTCGGTACAGGGCCAAGGAATTCAGCGTAGGACGGCCCAGAGGCGTGTGCGGCCTCGGTTCCGAGCAGAATTACTCTGGATCCTCACTAGGAGGATGCTCCTGCCAGTGTGGGATGGCTGGCTGCAGAGGGGCCGGCCCAGGAGCCCGTGCAGCCCACAGCCTCCAGGAGCCTGGCACGTGGCGCATGGCCGGACTGCAAGGGGCCCTGCTGAGAGGAGAGCCGAGTGCCCTGTGGTTCCCCCGAAGTATAACTTAGTCAAAATCCCCGAAACACGGATTTGAGAGGTTGGAGCTGGGCCACGGGGAGTGTTTCATGGGGACAGTTTCAGTTACAAGACGCAAGAGCGCCAGAGATCTGTACACCTACGTGAACAGACTTACCAGCGTGCACTTAAAAATGGGTTAAGATGATAAACTTAAGGTTTAAGTGTTTTTTACCAGTAAAATTGCCAGCAAGGAAAAGCCCTGGTCCAGGTGGCTTCCCTGGTGAGTTGTGCCAAACTTAAAAACCCCCGCCCATCCTTAAATGGTCCCCCCCAAATGAAGGAAGGGTCCATTTCTACCTCATTCCATGAGGCCAGCATTGCCCGGATACCGAGGCCAGATGCCACCACAAGAAAACCGGGGGCCAGGATCCCTCTGGAATATCGACCCTTGGGTCCTCAACGAAAAGCCAGCAGCCACAGCGTGCACGTCGGAAGGATTGCGCGGCGTGATCGGCGGGGCTGGGCGTCGGGGGTGGCCAGCACGCAGGTGCCACACCACGTTGACAGCGAAGGACGAGAACCCTGTGGGCCTTGCCGGGATGCGGAACGAGCACTTGGTGGGATTCAGTGCCCTTTCATGATGAAAGGACTCAACTGAGACGGAAGTTCGTGCCGCACAGCAAACGCCAGCTGTGGAAAACCCGCGGGCGGCGCCTCCCTGGGGGACGCAAACCTGAAGGCCTCCTCAGGTCCGGGACGCAGCCCGCAGGCCGCCCTGGCCACTCCGTGTAGCAGCCCCCAGTTCTCGCCGGGGCAGTTCATGAGAAAGAGAAGGAAAAGGCATACAAATTTGGAAGGAAACAAGTAAATCTTGTCTGCCCAGACAGCATGATTTTATTTGTAGGGAGCCCCAAGTGTTTCATGCCAAAAAATATGAACTCAGCAAAGTTTCCAGGATGTAAAATAAAAAAAGACTTATGTTTCTATGCGTTAACAGTGAACAGCCCAGAACTACCTTAAAATAATCCATCTGTAATAGGATGAAAAGGAATACAACCCTTGGGAATTAGCCGTGGATGTGAAAGGAGCGTCCACTGGAAGGCGTGACCCGTTGCCGGGAGAGGTGAGGATGCCCAGCGCCGAGTCCGTGCCCGGTGCCCGCCGCCCGCCGCGGCCTACGGATCCGGTGCGACCCTTGTCAAGGTCCCAGTGATGCTTTCTGTAGAAATCCGTCCGTCCTAAGGGTCACAGGGATGTTCAGGGAGTAGCTGAAAGAGTTGGGGAAGGAGCGAAACCGGAGGACTGCAGGCTCCCTGGTCTCAGGCCATGCCTCAGAGCTGCGGCAAGCAGAGGGCGCTCCTGGTGCTGCAGGGGGGATGGGGGGGGATCGGGGAGGGGGGGCGACCCTGCAGCGTTGTGGGGGGACCAAGGGCGCGAGGGCGCCCGGACTCCGGGAGGGCAGGGGCCACGGCCCCAGGACGTCAGCTCTCCCCGGGCGCCGACTTTCAGGGGCCTCCAGGGGGAGCAACTGGCCTTTCAGGGGCCTCCAGGGGGAGCAACTGGCCGTCGGCTCTGGGCCTGCAGCCACAGAGGGGCCTGAGCAGCCAGGAGCTGGGGGGGGGGGGGGTGGACACGGGGGGACGGGGACGGGGGGGGGGTACCCCGCAGTGCTGGAGGAAGCCCGAGCCCCTAGGGGGACAGTCCTGTCCTGCCCAGGAAGCGGGCCCCACGCGGGTAGCAGCCCGCCTCATCGGGAGCACCTCCCCTCCCACAGGTCTGTTACCTTTCGTTTCGCTTTACTTCTCTCCCTTTTTTTAAAAAAAATATTTTATTTATTTATTCATGAGAGACCCAGGCAGAGGGAGAAGCAGGCTCCATCCCTGCGGGGAGCCCAACATGGGACTCAATCTCAGGACCGTGGGGTCACGCCCTGGGCCGCAGGCAGGTGCTCAACCACTGCGCCACCTGGGTGCCCCGCATGCGTGTTTTCCGTAGACCCCACAGCCAACATGGGGCTTGGACTCATGACCCTGAGATCGAGCCTCACGCTGCGCTGACTGAGCCCGCCAGCTGTCCCACCTTGGGACTTGTCTAAAGATAATTTCAGGGGATCCCCAGGTGGCGCAGTGGTTTAGCACCGCCTTCGGCCCAGGGCGTGATCCTGGGGTCCCGGGATCGAGTCCCGCGTCGGGCCCCCTGCACGGAGCCTGCTCCTGCCTCGGCCTGGGTCTGCCTCTCTCTGGGGGTCTCACTAATAAATGAGTGGAACCTTTAAAAAAATAATGAAAAAAAGAGGCCTCAGTTGCTGTGACATCGCCTTCCCCCAGCCCAGTGTGACAAAAACTCCATCAGTAACGGAAGCTGCGGCCACCTGCTTGCGCACCTGCGGGCCCTTGGCCCCTGGCCCCATCTCTGCGTCATGGGGGTCGCCCTGCCCTGGTCACTCCGTGGCCCCCTGTGCCCACGGGAGGGGCTGGAGCTTTCCTCCCTCCGTCTGCTTCAGGTCAGCTGAATTCTTGGTTCAGTGAAAGACTCTGGGGTGAGGGAGGCGCCCTCCTTCCCCGATACTGGGTTTTGTTTATTTACTTTATAAGTAGGATTCACTCTGGGCTCGAACTCATGACCCCGAGACCAAGACTGGAGCTGAAACCAAGAGCCGGACGCTCTGCCGACTCAGCCACGCAGGTGCCCCGGGTGCTGTATTTTATTTTTATTTTTATTTTATTATTTAAAGACAAGGAGCAAGCACAGAGGCAGAGGGAGGAGCAGGCTGGTCGCTGAGCGGGGGCCCGATGGGGACTCGATCCCGCGCCCCGAGACCCCGGCCGGAGTCCCCGCGCCCGGGCCGCACTTAGGGGAAGGTCTGGCGTGTTCACCTGCCCGCGTGGGCGCTGAGCTGCTCCTGCTGGCCGTGCATGAGCCCGGGCTCCCAGCAGCCGCTGCAGCGGGGTCACCAGGCAGGTGTGTGTCCGGGCGCCTGGGACCCGGTGCGCTGTCCTCGCCCTGCCGCCGGCCGACCTCACGGCACGGAGAAGTGGGCGGCCGCTGCCTGCGTGGGCGCCCGTCCCCCCGGGCCACGACCCCTGACGCCCCCGTGGGCAGCCCACGCGCCCAAGCCCGGCCGCCCTGCAGGAGCGAGGGCCGGTCACAGACAGACGTGGGAAGCAGTGATTCCGGGGAGAAGCAGCCTTGGGGTAGGCGGGGGCTGCGTGGGCCCAGGTTGCCGCCTCCGCGCGGGAGCCGGGCTAGGACCACGGACCGAGGCTGCCAGGGCTCGGGCAGAGGCAAAGGACCCGGAGAGGTGACCCATCGGGGCTCACATCCGGGCCAAGGCGAAGGGTCTACATTGGTGGGTGCGGCCGCAAAGGGGGGAAGTGTGGGGCTGCAGCGGCCGGCGGCAGAGGGGGTGCGGGAGCGGGTGCAGGTGTGGGGGGCCGGGTCCTGCCGCAGCACCCTGCACCCCGGGGTCGCGGGCTTGAGCCCCATGTTGGGGTGCAGACCGTGTGAAGTCTTCAGGATAGAATTGATGCTCCGAGACCATGCAAGGCAAGTGGGGCCGAGGCGTGGGAGGTGGGCGCCCACCGTGGCCTCGGGATCCTGGGGTCGTCTGGTCAGGCTCCCTGCTCAGCGGGGACACTGCTCCGCCCGCTGCCCCCCTCCCCAGCCTAGGATATCGGGTCTCAAATAAAACTTTACAAGAAGTCAGCAAGGGGGCAGCGGGTGGCAGGTGGGCTCCGCCTTCAGCCCAGGGTGTGACCCCAGGTCTCGGGATCAGGTCCTGCGTCAGGCTCCCTGCAGGGACCTTGCTTCTCCCCCTGCCTGTGTCTCTGCCTCTCTGTCTCTCATGAATAAATAAATACAATATTTAAAAAAGAATTTATTATAAAAAAAGTTCCTTCACGAAACAGATGGGAGAGCTCCGAGGGTTCATCAGGTCAAGGACCGTCCATCCTCTGGCACGTCCACGGAGCTCCTGCTCTGGCCCCGTAACTTCATCAAAAGACTAAATTGTGGGATTAAAGTTTTATGGGATTAAAGTTTTGACAAACCAGACAACAATATTAAAATGTGGTAATTCCTTTTATTGGTTTTGCTTCTCAGTAAAATTAGTACTTGCCACATCGTCTTGCCTGAAGTTTTAAGCAACTCTTCAGGCTTAACAAATGGGCTTTTCTACTGAATTCACAAAACATTTAGCTCTGTTAAATAATTTTTCATCTTCCCAGTGTTTATTATACAACATTCGAGGATAATACAGCTGTCATAAGATTTCAGGTCCGAGAAATCTATGGCAAGAGTTTTAAAAAAATGCATTCGCCGAGGTACAATTTAAATACGAATAAATACACACCCCACACCCCGAATCTCATACGGACATTAATCTTCCTGCGGATTTTCCCCCCTACAATACAGCCTGACTTTGGAGAACACTGGTTTTCAGCTGGGGGCGCCTGTGCCCCAGGAGACACTTGGCACCTGGTGTCACTGTGACTCACGGGCGACAGGGGTGAATGGCAGGTGGCATTCGGGAGTTGCTACACATCCTACAACACACGGGGTGAACTCTGCCCACAAAGGACTACCACCCACACGCCAACTGTCCAGCTTAAGAAATCCGGTGCTGGACTCCCTCAATTAAGCCAATTCCCACTTTACAGACTGCCCGCCTGCCCGGCGTGCTCCGAAAACACACGTCACGAAGGGGCAGAGGCTCTAATAGAAGGGACCTGAGCAGCATCGTCACCCACAGCAACGTGTGACTTTCAGCATCAAAATACTTCCCGAATGAGTAAACCACAGAATCAACTTAGAATGACAGAAATCAACACACACCGTTTAATTTCTCTTGAACCTGCTTTACTAGTTTAATCGGCTCGTATGGAAAGTTAGCTTGGACTGTTCTGGAGTAGCTAAGCAAACAGTTCCCACTGCACATTTTTCTAGACTGATAAAAACGTAATGATTTATAAAGCATTTGGCAAAGAGCAAAGTGTGCGGACGATGTTTATCATGACATCTCAAAAATCAAGAGCTTCACTTATTTGTTTGGACTATGTGATTAGACAGGTTAAATGAAGTGAATCCTCCCACTTTTTTTTTTACCATAATCTCCCACATATGTTTTTTACAAACAGCAACCCACACTTATGGGCCGTGTGATACAAAGTGAACAAGTTGGTTGTACTTTCCAAATGCTCGTTGTAAAATACCAATATTTTAGATGATGAGTTCTTAAGGGGAACCAAGAATTCAAAAAAAAAATCATATTAAGTTTACTAAGTGGAGAAATTTTTCCGTATTTTACTAATCACTCATCTCCACATTCACATTCTATGTATTTTCTCATGGTCGACGAACTGATTCAAATGATTTAAGTTATCCCACCATTTAAAGAGAAAAGCATCGGCGATAATCTGAAACCACGGAGTTATCTTAATTTCACCACGGGCTGCCTTCTCCAGAAGTTCTTTTAGCTCTTCCTTTGTCACGTAACAGTAGCTCTTAATCTCATTGGGATCTGGATTCAAGGTCACGTTCTTCCGCACGAACAGAATGTAATCAATTTCGTGTTCCCCCCAGATGCCGTCCGACTGAGCCTTGTAGTGAATTCGTGTTAGATAATTAATTTCTTCTGGAGGAACCTGGGACGAAAAGAAAACCTCAGCAAAAACATCAACAACACGGGTAACTTCAACCAGCCCACCTCACTCCATAACATCCTGAACACAACTGTAGCTGAATTAGAATTCTTAAAACATTAATCTCCGAGTGATGACACATGAAGATAGTATTACAAAGTTTAACACGCCTAGATTTTTTTCCCCATATGACCAAGAATTTAAGTTAAATTTATCGAAATATATATATATAAAAGCAGTTCCTCACACTAGATGTGTGACATTCTTCTTCACATCTTATTTATTTATTTATTTATTTATTTATTTATTTATTTATTTATTTATTTATTTATTTATTTATTTATTTATGATAGGCACACAGTGAGAGAGAGAGAGAGGCAGAGACACAGGCAGAGGGAGAAGCAGGCTCCATGCACCGGGAGCCTGACGTGGGACTCGATCCCGGGTCTCCAGGATCGCGCCCTGGGCCAAAGGCAGGCGCCAAACCACTGCGCCACCCAGGGATCCCTCTTCTTCACATCTTAATGGTACTTTTCCAGGGGAAAAAAACTATTTGCCATTTTAACTAGAGGAGATATACTTTTTTTACCCTGGTTTTATTTAAAAAGGGACAATGCCAGAAAAAAAAAAGATTCCAATTTATCCAATCAGATTTATAGTACATATTTGTAAGGATTTCGGTATCATCTTTGATCTGATTAATTATAAAAATAGTTGGGATGAAAAAAAATAGTTGGGACGCCTGGGGAGGGACTCAGTGGTTGAGCATCTGCCTTTGGCCCAGGGCGTGACCCCGGGGTCCCGGGATCGAGTCCCACGTCGGTCTCCCCGCAGGGAGCCTGCTTCTCCCTCTGCCTGTATCTCTGCCTCTCTGTGACTCTAGTGAATAAATAAATTTCAAAACAATTCATAAAAATAGTTAATTTCATATACTGGTTATTAGATCAATCCATTTCAGCACTGAGCTAAATTCTCTTAAATTGGGACAGCTGGGTGGCTCAGTAGGCAAAGCATCTGCCTTGGGCTCAGGTAGTGATCTCAGGGTCCTGGGATGGAGCCCCGTGTCAGGCTCCCTGCTCAGCGGGAGGCTGCTTCTCCCTCTCCCTCTGCAGCTCCCCTTGCTGGGGCTTAATCTCTCGCTCTCTCACTCTCAAAAAAAAAAAAAAAAAAAAAAGATTCTCACATAATATGAGGAAATCAAAACTTAAGTCATCTTTAATGGGGGGGCTTTCTGGGGCCAGGAACTCACAAGGTTACAAGGCAGAGACTCACCTTAAATTTAAAATTTTATTTAAAATGGTTTAATGTACATTTGAATCTGTAAACAAGATTTCAGCTTGTACAGCTGTGCAGTAAACCTGGTTACCTCTTCCATGGGAATTCCTAATTCAGCCTCTAAACGCCTCTGTGCTGCTCGTCTTACTCCGATCGCGTCGCTTTCCTCAAGCTCTTGTGGATTACTTAATGGATGACTGCAACATGTGTTGGTAAAACAACCTGGAAGAGGTTAAAGCGTGTAGATTAACTGTTTTTCGAAACAAGTCTAAAAACAAGAAAACTTAAAAGTAACAGGAAAATAAGGATTTCTAAGTCAGTTATGATGAGCTATCAGTAACTGTTCTAGGAGACATGACTAGATAAGTTCTTTATGAACACCTGCTTAACCAAAGAGAGCAAAGTGTACACAGCTAAACCTACAACACTCGTAAAAACAGATGTTAGAAACACAGGTGAGGAGGTGGGGAGGCCGGGGGGGGGGGGCTCCGTGGTGGAGTGGCTGCCTTCTGCCCCGGGTGTGATCCCGGGTCTGGGACCGAGTGGGCTCCCTGCTTCTCCCTCTGCCTGCGTCTCTGCTTCTCTCATGAATATATAAATAAAATAAAATAGAAAAAAAAGAAATACATGTACATATACAGGTAGATAGCAGGTTTGTTTTTGTGTGTTTTAAAAAATATGTATTCATTTATTCATGAGACACAGAGAGAGAGAGAGAGAGGCAGAGACACAGGCAGAGGGAGAAGCAGGTTCCTTGCGGGGAGCCCGACGTGGGACTTGATCCCGGGACCCCGGGGTCACGGCCTGGGCAGAAGGCAGGCGCTCCTGCTGAGCCCCCAGGGGTCCCAGGCAGCAGTTTTCATCGCTGTTTTAGCAGGTTGCACTCATGCACACGCTTCTTTATGCAGAACACGAAATGATGGCACCCACCGCATCGGCCTTTGACACCAAGGGTGCCCCTGGCAGAGCCACCTGGATCCCGCTCCGCACAAAACGCTGAAGTCAGAAGCACACTGACCTGGAAAGGTGATCTTGGCATCCGACCTCTGCTGCAGCAAGAGCTTATTTTCTGTGTTGAATAAAAACACGCTGAAGGCTCGATGCAGTAACCCTGCGGGCCAACACGGGCGGTAACTTCACGTAAAACAGCAGTTACGCGGCCCACTCAGCCCGCAGCCCAGAGCCCTGGACCCGCTGCAGAAGGTGCACCTGCCTCCCAGCCGCCGGGCCCACGGACCTGCCCTCCCCGCACCTGCCCCCCCCCCCCCCCCCGCCCTCGTCCCCGAACGTGCCCCGCCGCCGCACACCTGCCCTCCCGGCACCTGACCGCCCCCCCCCGCACATCTGCCCTCCCCGCACCTGCCCCCCCCCGCACACCTGCCCTCCCCGCACCTGTCCCACCCGCCCGCGCACCTGCCCTCCCAGCACCTGCCCCCTCCCCCCGCACCTGCCCTCCCGCCCCCGCACGTGCCCCCGCCGCCGCACACACTCCCGCCCGCGCACCTGCCCTCCCTGCACCTGCCCCACCTCCCGGCACCTGCCCCCCCGCCCCCCACCTCGGTCTATGTTCTCGTTCAGGTGGCAGTTGCGCTTGGTCTCCGCCCCGATCCGACGGTCGTGCTCATCGATGAGGATGCACATCTCGGCCAGCAGCTGCACCTGCTGCGCGTCCAGCTCGTCCAGGTTCACCTCCCGCATGCTGGCGGCCCGCCCGCCCCGGCCCGCGACCCTGGCGCCGACACACGACACACGGCAGGAGCCCGTGAGTCTGGGCCGCTCCCGCAGCGCCCCCGCCGCCCGCCCGCCCGGCCCCGCCTACCCCGGGCTCACGGCGCCCCGCCGGCCGCGCTCCGCCGCGCGCTCCTCCCCCGGGCCCCGCCCCCGGGGTCCGCCCCTCCGCGCCGCCGGCCCAATCGCCAGCGCCCGCGCCACCGCGCGCCACATGCTCCGCAGCCAATCGCGCGGCGGCTGCGCCTGACGTCACGATCGCGCGAGGGCGGGGCGGGGGCAGCGTCCGGAGCCCGGGGCCCGCGGTTCCGCCCTCGGCGCTCCGGCGTCTGGCGATCGGGTCTCCACGGGCCCGTTTTAAAGGGGGGCGCCCGGAAGCGAGGGGCGGGCCGATTGGCCCCGGCCACGCCCTCAGGCCGCGCGCACAGGGCGCACCCGGCGGGCAAGCGCTCGTTACGGGGCTGGGGACGCTGCGCTCTCGCGTCCCGAGGTCGGTGCGCGGGCGCTCTGCCAGGGGCCAGCGCCGAGGGCGGGGCCGCAGACCCGGCCAGGCTAGGTGCGGAGCCGTGGGCGGGGCCGCTCCGCTCTGACGTGTCCCGACGTCGGGGGCGGGGCTATGGGCGGGGCCGTGTGCGCTGCGCTCTGCCCCTGTGGCCGGCGCCGCAGACCGGGCCAGGCTTAGGCGCGGAGTCGTGGGCGGGGCCGGGTACGCTCCGCTCTGACGCGTCCCGGCGTCGGGGGCGGGGCTACGGGCGGGGTCGCCCGGAGCGCTTCCGCCCTAGGCTGCCCAGGTGCGCCTGCGCGGCTCCCCCCTCCCGGTGGTCCCGCCGCCCGGCCCCCGCCTCGCGCCCACACGCGGGCCCCTACTCGCCGGGCCGTCACTCCCTCCCTGGGACCCGGGGGCCCTGCGCGCCCGACCGCACGTCACACCCCCGTTCACCCCATAAGCCCTACACGTCACAGCCGCTCGATATTAAAACACGAAATAGCAAAATCTGTTAACTGGTCATTTAAAAAAAATTCGTTTATCTGCTTAGATCTTAAAAATATAAAAATAACTAAAGTTCCCATCAGGTAACGCTCATTTATTCCAAGAAATTGAATAAAGACTGAATAAAGTGTGCTTTATTCTTAATTCCGATTGCCTGTGAAATTATTTTGTGTTTCAATACGTATCAACCGTGTACGAGCGCACGTTCCTTCCTCTCCCGCCCGTGGGACTTGGGCTGTGGCCCGAGGCAGGAGCAGCTGCGGGGCTTCGTGTCCGGCCTCGGGGCACCGTCACCGCAGCCTTCGGGAACCTCGGCTTCCTCTTCTGTATTGATCCCTAAACTATGCCAGAAACTTTAGGACTTATATTAGTGTTTGTTCGTTCATTTAAAGACGGTGATAAACACAAACCGACAACATTTCGATGAACCTGTTCTCCAAACAAGCACCATCCGAAGAGGCAGCGGAGAGGTTGACCCTTGCAGGCATCCCGGGCCCCCGCCGTGGCTCAGGTCCACGAAGAAACTCGCTTCCCGGAGATACCCTGGAGAAGCGGCAAGCAGCTCAGCCTTTTCCGATGATAATGGTCATTCTTTTTTGATGACACAGCAGGACACCACAGGTAGTTTTTTGGCTCCACGTCTGACCCCCGGGGGCCCCTCTCATGCGTTATTCTGCGATATCAGGTCACTTGGAAAACCCCTAAACTACGCAAGTGCTGCAGGTGTCAGCCCACCTCGCCGCTCCGTACCCATCGCCTGTCCCATCAGCAAGTTCCGCGAGAAGCCGTCAAGGCCTTGGCGGACAGCGAGGGAGCTCGCCGGGTCCGTGCCCCAGTTTCTGGGGGCTGAGCAAACAAACTAGTGTTTGCTGAGCACTGGTCTTCACCGTCCCGTGCAGCCGCAGCCCCGGACCCCGCCTGCGGCCCCGCAGGCAGGCCAGGCCCCTGACCCCGCGCCCGGGTCGGGCCGCTCGGCGCTCGGCCGCGGGGGTGGGCGCCCCGGGGGAGCAGCTGATGCTGTTGTCGCCCGCGAGCCAATGGCGAACCCCGGCCCCGGAGAGGAGCGCGCGTGAGTCATCTCTGCGGAGGAGCCGCAACGTTCATAGCTGCCCCCGCCCCGGCGCCGCCGCCACATCCCGGCCCGCGGCCCGCAGCCGCCCGCAGCCGCCCGCAGCCGTCCGCAGCCTCCCGCAGCCGCCCCCGGCCCGATGGCTGCGACCTCTGCGACCCCCGCGGGACCCCGCCGCGGTGAGTACCGGCGCCGCGCCGCCGCCCCCACGGCCCGCCCGCGCCCGCGCCCGCGGGGGGGCGCCGGGCCGCGGGCCGTGGGGGCGGCGGCCGGGGGGAGGCGGAGGATCGCCGCCGCGCCCCCGCCGCCTCTGGCTCCCCGCGCTGCCGGCCCCCGCGGGCGCGGGCGGACGCGGCACTTCCGCCGCGCACGGGGGCGGGGGCGGGGCGGGGCGGGACTTCCGGCGGCCTGCGCGCGAGGCGCGGTCGGAGCTTCCGGCGGCGCCGGAAGTGCGGGGCGTCGGGCTGCCGGGTCGCGGGGCCGCGTCAGGGCGGAGACTCGGGGTCCAGCGTCTGTCGGTCCGTCGCAGGCGCCGCGTGGTCGCGAACGGACGGACGGCGGCGCTCGGCGCGGTGGTTGGGCGGCGGCGGCGGCGGCGGGCCAGGTGAGGCGGGGGGCGGGGGGCGGGCGGCCGCGGCCTGCGCGCGGTGGGGGGCGTGCCCGCGTCCTTTGCAGCTCCGCGCGCCTGGGGTCGCGACTCTGCTGCCCGCGGAGCACGTGCGGGCCCGCCGCCCGGGGTCGCCGCCCGGGGTCGCCGCCCGGGGTCGCCCGGTGCCCGGTGTGACCTGGGGTGACGCTGCGCCGGGCGCGCGGTGCTGCTGTCGGGCCGCGGCCTGCGAAGGTGGGCGCCGCCGAGCTCGGGGCAGGGTGCAGCCCGGCTCCGCCCCGGGGGCTCCGGGCTCCAGCTGCTCCTGGAGATGCGGCCGCCGCGTCCCGGGGACTCCCCCCGGGCTGCCCCGCGCGCTGCCCGCTGCTGCCTCGCTCCTTGCGCGCGTCCCAGCCGCCCTCCCTTGCTCCCAGGGAGCGCTTGGGAGCCCTTCCGCGAGGACGTGGGAGTCGCGCCCCCGGGGCGAGGGGCACGTGGCGGCCCGCGAGCGCCGGGAGCTGCCGGGAGCTGCCGGGTGGCGCTTAGGGAGCGCGGAGTCCCGGAGGGAGCTGTTCGTGCGACCCCGGTCAGGAGGTTTTTGGAGACCAGTAGGATTTTTTTTTTTTTTTTTCCTCTCCATCAACTTCCTTAATGTGACCTGTTCTAGGATAGTGGGTTACTACCAACGTTTTGATGAAATGTGATTTGTTTTGGCATTTCAAGCTTTTGTTTCTGGTTATATTTAGGTGAAATGGCACAGCTTAACCCCCCCAAGATTTATTTATTTATTGATATTCACAGAGAGAGAGTCAGAGACACGGGCAGAGGGAGAAGCAGGCTCCATGCAGGGAGCCCGATGCGGGACTCTATCCCAAGACCCGGGGTCACGACCTGGGATGAAGGCAGGCGCCAAACTGCTGAGCCCCCCGGGGCTGCCCCTGGCACAGCTTTTGACGTGGGTTACACAAGGTTATTTTTAAAGTGAAGGCTTCCCCCCCCCACCCTTCACAGTTATTTGTTTTTCTTCTTCCCGCCTCTCCCTTTATAGTATTATAGCCAGTTTACCAAAGTGTTTGCGTCCTAACTACGCGGGAACTGTGCCTCACAGGGATGTTGGAGCAGTAGCTGCGGTTCTTACCGACTGAGCACCTTTGTAGTGGTTCCTGTTTCTGCCCACCCGGTAACGGCGTCGCTGCACTAGGACTCACCGCACGTCCCTCCTCATCCAGCTCGCAGTCCGTGCTGTAGCAGTTCACGCTGTAGCAGTTTGCTATTCCTTTCACACACACCTGCAGTTTCCTTGCCTGTCTCTGTAATCTCAACCTGAAAACCCTTTCAAGCCTTGGTGTTGGGTTTATACTAACAGTGACCCATGGCCCGTGAAGAACGTAGACACTTTCGTTCCCCGGCCAAACAAGGGCTTGTTCTCCCCAGAGGGACTGGTGTGGAAGGAAGGAAGTGATGTTGGCGTCAGGGTGCACTGCTGGAGGAGGCAGAGGATGTGAACCAAGAGGACAGGAGTGAAATTTTGAAAAAGGTTCAGGAAGAAAATTGCGATGGAAAGATTAACAGGAAAAAAAAAATTGAGAAGAGGTTAGAAAAACTAGAGGAACCTATCAGTGTAGTTTTGGAAGAATGGTGAAGGTAGCTGAGGCAATGAGTGGAAATAGCCAGGTGGTCTTCGACTGTGAAGCGCAGGGCCCAGGGATTATGAGCCCATATTTGAGATGGCACCTCACGGAGCTTCCGAGGGTACTAAGGGATAAAAAATCGACTCAGGATGAAAAATCTCCATTTGAGCCAGGTTTTGGGGAACCAAAAGCTGTTCCAGATTTGTAGTTTATAATTGCATGAAGTGTGTATATTTGCTTGGAAGTTGATCAGTGCAAAAAGTTTACTAGTGTATGGACGGTTTGGTGAAGTGCTAAAAACAAGAAAAGCCCAGAACAACAGCTTATGGGGTTTGTGGGGGGATGGAGGTTAGAGCCTCAGTGAAAGGCAGAGGGTGAAGATTTGTTTTTTGAAGTTCTATTTAAGTGATCTCTACACCCCAGTGAGGACTCAACACAGGGCCCCAAGGTCAGGAGTCACTCCTCCCACTGAGCCAGCCAAGCACTCCCAGAGGGTGAAGATTTTTAACATTAGTGATTAGAAGACTGCTGATTTCTTACTGAAGATAAGTAAGAAATATATAACCTCTCCCAGATTTTCCAGTGTCTGGAAAGCCAGTGGTATGATACCCAGAGAGAAAATCATGGATTCAAAACCTGCAACTTTGAGGGATGCCTGGTTGGCTCGGTTGGTAGAGTGTGTGAGTTTTGATCTGATGGTTGTGATTTCGAGCCTTGGTGGGGTATAGAGATTACTTAAAAAAGTCAAAAACCCAAAAAACTACAACATTGAGGTGAAAGGAAGGTTGGTGTTGCAGTTTTTGCACTTTATATAACCAACTTGTAGAAGATTTTAAATGCATTAATTTTTCAGCTTATACTTACTGGAATATTTCCAATGATGCAGGTCTTCAGAGAGGAAAGAAAAGACCTTTACTTGCTTATTTACTTGATTGAAATGTCTACAAAGTCTCCTCTTTTCTCTGCGGCTCCGTTAGGACTGGTTTCACAAGGTTTTGTTATTTTTCTTCCTTTACGAAATGCGCCTTATAAACTGCAAGGTAACTATGGTTAATTGTTGTGTTAATGATTTTGACACAACTGAGATGCTTAATGAAGTGACTAATTAAAATGTGTAATCACTAAAAAAGAATTATGTCTATCCCTATTTTTTTTATTGAAGAATATAATCTCTGGGTGTAAGATTCCATTAAATCAGTTTGATTTTTTGGCCAGTATTCGTATGTGACACGGTTAAATAGTTCTAAATGTTTCCACTAAAAAATAAAAATAAAGAAAAAATCACTGAAATACTCTTAAGTGGGATCATATGAATTGCTTAACAATTTGGCTTTCTTTCAAATTTTTCAAAAAAATTTTAAAGATTTTTTATTTATGAGAGAGCCAGAGGGAGAGCATGTGCGTGCATGCAAGCACAAGCATGGGGAGTGGCAGGCGGAGGGAGAGGGAGAAGCAGGCTGAGCAGGGAGCCCTATGTGGGGCTTGATCCCAGGAGCCTGGATAGTGACCTGCTGAAGGCAGAGGCTTAACTGACTCAGTGACCCGGGTGCCCCCAGTTTGTCAAATTTAATATCAGTGTAATCTTTGTGCATATGAAGTTCAGCCAATTACAGATTCTGCTTTTTTTTAATTTCAGCCATCTCTTAATTTCTATAGCTCATATTTTTCAGACCTAAATTTCATCAGAAAATTGGTTCTTTAATTTTCAGTCAAAAATAAATTTTCCATATGTCATTTGAAGGAGTGCTGGCTTTATTAAATGTTGCTTGTTTCTACCAGTAACGTTCATTATAAGCTTTTTTATCATCTTATTGGAAGAGTAATGTTTGGTAAGGCATCGAATCTGGAGGCATGATGGAGTCAAAATGCCCATCTCTACTTCAGTGTAGACCTCTCCCAGATTTATACATTTAGCCCTGTGGTCTTTGCATCTCTAGATCTGTGTACTTCCTTCTCTCTTCTGTGTCTTAGGTCTTCAGAGGCATTGCAAACTTCATACCTTCAATATTTAGTTCTTGATTTCTTCTCCACATTTTCTGCCTCAATATCTCAATAATCTGATCTCTCTCACCTTCTTACTTCAGAAATGAGGGCTGTGCTTGAAATCTCTCTTCTGCCCCACCGCCCTCCCCACCCCACATCCGTTCCTGTACCCTCTCATCTTATGGGCCATCATTAATTGCCTAGACATTTATTAACTTCCTGACCAGCTTCTTCCCCACTCCTAGTCATCTGAGTTTTCCGTGTTTCCTACACAGCAAGAGTGATTTTTCATGCAAATTCGGTTGTCATTTTTTTACTTATACCTTGAAGTTGCTGGCTTTTTGTTCTAGAATAGAATCTAAACATAAAAGACCGACTCTAGGGATCCCTGGGTGGCGCAGCAGTTTAGTGCCTGCCTTTGGCCCAGGGTGCGATCATGGGGACCCGGGATCGAATCCCACGTTGGGCTCCTTGCATGGAGCCTGCTTCTCCCTCTGCCTGTGTCTCTGCCTCTCTCTCTCTCTCTCTCTCTCTCTCTCTCTCTCTGTGTGACTATCATGAATAAATAAAATATTTAAAAAAAATGTAAAAAAAAAGTAAAAAAAAAAGACCGACTCTAAGCCTCTCTCTCCCACTTATCTTGTTACCATTCTCTCTATTGTTTGCTATGTTTTAGCCACATGATCTCTTTTTTAGACTCTCTAATAAACTAGTCTCATTCCCAGCTCAGGGTATTTGCACATGCTGTTCCTGTTCTTGGGAACCCCATTCCCCCTCTGCATGTCCATGGTTAACACTTCCTAATTCTTCAGTCTCAATTTAAAGGTCAGTTTCTCAGAGAAGCCTTGCTCTTTAGCTTGTATCTTGTCTTGTAATACTTGTACATCTTCCAGAGCAGTCACCGCAACTTCTAATTTTTCTTTCTTTTTTTTTAAGATTTTGTTTATTTATTCATGAGACACACACACACACACACACA